CCGCGATTGTTCTGGCGCCATTGACAGCCGGACACATTAAAACACAAAAAAATGACACCGATGACGGCAGATCAAGTGGCGAGAGCGGAGAGAGAGGTAATGAGATACGCAACAAACGGAATCCATTACTACAACGACGAAGAGCTGGATTTGTTACGGCAAAGAGCGTCGGCGTACTTTGACACGAGGGTTGACGTTCAGTAGTCAGTGGCGGCAAACGGAGACAGGTTAACGAGAGCACAACAGTTGTCGCTGCGCTTATCTCAAAATGCCGACATGCATGACAACCACATCATGATGGAGTGCTCTGCGAACACTCTTCACGTAGTTGTGGACTGGATGTGCAACGACCAAGACATCGACATGACGAAAAGAGAGGGAGGAGGTTCGTACGACACAGCGGCGTTCAAGAAATTTGTGAGATCCCAGGCAAGGGAAAATGAAAAGTTGAAGACAGGGGTTGGTGAAGAATTGAAGCCGAACGCTGCGGAGATCTTGGCGCTGAGCAGGATGAACGACGAGGCACAAAGAGATCCTGTCGACTACCATGAACTGGCGACAATGGTGGTGGACGGTGTCGAGTATGTGCTACTTGACCAGATTGTGGACTTCATGAAGAGTGGAGGCGAGGACAAAAACCTCATTCACGAGGCATTGCATGAGGTGACGGAGGACGCAATAGCAGCAGAGGAGGTTGTCGATGTCGAGTGCGTAAAGGATCGCACACTCGACCTTGTATCGGGAGATCCTGTGCCCCGAGGGAACATATTCGAGGTTGTAGAGGAGCTCACCGCGGCATTGACGGACGTGGACAGGAGGAGGAAGAGAAAGCAAGGATGGGAAATCGTTGTCCGAGAACATAATAGCGCAAGGACACACACAAGAGACATAACAGTGCAGGACGTAGGTGGTGCAGTATCTCTCCCGGATGTGACGACCGTGTTGAAGAATCCTGTTGCGGATGCCCGGACTGTCCATGGCGGATTCAGAGAGTGGAGATTGGCATCCATACGTCCTTCAGGTGACTTCAACGAAGGGGGTAAACAACCGTCTCGGCAGGGAGATTATGAGGTGGTTCGTTCTGATGACAAGGGCGATGCGCAGACACGACTGCAGCAAGAGAACCCGGCTTTACGGGACTTGGAGGTGAGTGGCAGTGATATCAGCAGCGACGAGGAGGGCGAGGAATACGACCCTTACTCGGACGTAAAGCGAGGTGGTGGTCAAGCCATGAAAGGCTGGTGTCATGCGATTTTGAGGTTGGCTCGTTATTTCTCGAAACCGCACCCACGTGTTGTGGACAAGGTGGCAACACCGGACGGGCTTCTACACTTCGCAGCTATCAAGACGATTTTGTCGTACATCGAAACCGGCAAACGTTGGACTCGCACTGGAAAATCATGGTTTGTTCTCATACAGAAAGAGACCATTCTGACGACATCGATGTCATGGGCTCTGAACCTGAGTTGCGTCATACACGGAGCAGCTGCCACTGCATGCGGTGCCACCGTGCACCCCACAATGTCAACAGCGACTGCAATTATACATGCACAACCAACACTCCTGCGTGTCACGAAAGACGACAATATCGATGCTGCTATGGACATGGGCCGAACATCAAAGGAACAATTGAAACGGAGAAAATTATAGGGCTCTCTCTCTCTCTCTCTCTCTCTCTCTCTCTCTCTCTCTCTCTCTCTCTCTCTCTCTC